CATTTTGGAAAAAAATGTCAAGAGACAAAAATGTTCAGGACACATTTCTCTATCTGCTCTGATAATTTGAGAAAAATCTGTGACAGTGCATTGAGCAACTTCGTTCGTCTCTATCGTGCACTGCCTCTTATAGAAACATGCCCTCCTTCTCTTTCGAATGGCGAAAACCAGAACTCTCTAGTTGCTCTATCAAAAGTTATTTCAAAAATAGCTATATGTGTACTGGTTTTGGGGTTTGGATAGTAGAAATCAATATATATATTTCTATGCACTTGTTTTTAGTATTATGAACATGCGCTACGTTTTTCATTTGAACATTTCCAAACATGGTACAATTTTGGATTAGCTCTCATCTCATCGAATCAAGTACGAACATCAATATATTACTTTTCTCACGTTTTTTATAATTCTTTTATTATTTTGTAGCCATTTCGCGCATATTTAGTGTTTAAAGAATGTTTACGAATGCAACCGGAAAATATTCAAGTTTATTTGCAAGTAGCAAAAATTATGTTAGAAAATATTTATGATGTAAGAACAACTAGTTGGCTCAATTTTATTTTATCTTCATTTTCTTTTTTCATAGTTACCATCGCTATTTGAAACTCTACCATCGAGTGCTAGAGATGCCGCTCCAACAACAGCTTCAAATATGATTCAACATGAACAACGACCACCCTTCCTCGACTTAGTATATACATTTACAGTTTGTAGATTTTATCTCATATTATATATTGTCTTATATTACTTAGGTTGATGAAGCTATTTCATATTGTGAACGCGCAAGAGAAATTCGTCAGCCTAGTCATCCACGTGCTCTACTTTTACTCGCTGTTGCCTATTCATTTAAAGCAAGACAAACATCAATACATACCGATAGACAAGCGCTATTTCAAGCAGCAATCAATGAATTACGAGAGTAGGTACTATACTGTCTCTTTACTTATACTATTTTTAAACGAAAATTCATTTTTTTCTTTAGAGCAATTCGTCTCGATCCATATGATTCAATAGCTTATTTTCATTTAGCACACAATTTAGCATTTTTGAATGATGTACGTATAGTTGAAATGCGTAAGAGTATAACATTAACAACATATACATATAATCTAGGTTCGTGAAGCAATTAGTGCTATCGAAACAAGTCTTCGTTTACAACCCGATGATAAATATTCTTTGCATCTCTATACAATTTTATTAACATCCAATAAACAAATGATACAAGCATATACACAGATTTATAAAGCAACGAACGAATTTCCAGATATTAGGTAAACATTTACTTTTTTCTTAATGACATATCTATGTTTGTGAAAATGAAAATATGGAAATAATTTGATTCAATTCCATAGTATAAGGCAAGAGTTACAACTTTACATTTAAAAATGATTTTTTATCTGGAGTTTAGTTTATTATTAACAAAGGCAGCCGTTGAAGATCAGTTATACGGTAGTGAACAATCAATTTTAACATGCAAAGAAGCATTAATTGTGTGGAAGAATGATTTTGAACCAGTTATGAATAAACAATCGTCAAGCAGGTTAGTAGATATAATATGACAAAAAAACAATAACCGTTCATTCAAAAAATAATTGAGTTAGAAGTAAGAGTAGTGTTTTAAATTAACCATACCTTCCAAGGGACATTGATGCGATAGGTTTATAAAAAGAATGGATCATCGGCCCAAAAAACAATTCTTTTTCTAATTTAAGATAATAAATAACCTAATATTTGATTGAAATAAAAGGAAAACTTTTCATTTCAGTGCAGCGGACATTTCAGTTAAAGCTATAATAAAAGTGCCTTCGAATGTAAAGGGTTAAACTATGTCTGTTGTTTTTATACTCATAAACATCAGTTAAGAATGGTGTAACATCCAAGAACATTACAATGTAAATGTCAACAAAATTTTTGAATGTTCTGTCAAATATGGATCTTAAGAATTGTCGTCTTATACATGAATGAAAGAAAGGAAGAAAAGGATGTTATTTTGTAGATAAATCGGCGGTAGAATAAAGATAGTTAGTATTTTTCCAGCGAGATGTGTGGACAAAGTGTCTAAAGACGAATGGACGAATCGCAATTTTTAAGCGTAAAAATGATGCAACAATTCGTGTTTTACTCTTGTTTTGCGAATTCGTACGAATTGATGCGAACTGTATCGAATTCGTACGGATACTCTTAAAAACTTTTATGATTTCTTCTTGCGAAGTCGTAAACAGAGAATAGATCAAACACGATGCTGATCAATTCGCAAATAATTCGTAAAATTAGTTTACGAA